CCTCATTCTTACCGTCGAAATAATCTCCTGCATATTGGCCCCCCATTGATACATTGTTCTCTTCAAAGTTTCTGTAATTATTCCAGTAAGGGATCCTTCCTCCTCTTCTCCAGGGCCTTCCACGGAATCGCCTTTGGAATGTTGGGAATCTAGTATTCGATCCTTCATCGTACGACAGTCTCTCGAAGACATCATTACTCTGGAGTTTGCCTCTTCCTCCTTGAGAAGAATGCATCTCTCTTCTAACCCACTGTCTTTGATTCCCACTAACACCAGAACCAACGGATTTCTGTTGACTTTCTCCGATCGTTGGTTGGCTTGTTTGATCCACTTTGTCATTTTTCCTTTCATTCTGACTTTCGATTTTCTTTATCTGTTCCACTCTGAAAGCCTTAGCAGCTGACTTGTCGAATACTGCACTACATCGCGGACATAACGACACATCTTCATCTTTTCCTTTCTTTCTGTTTAAAAACTCGATGAGAGAATCTCCTGATCGAGGATAAATCTCCCTCTCGAATTCTTTTTCGAATTCACTCAAATCGAATTCCCTATCTTCTTCACATACATCCATTCTGACATGCTTGGGATCAATGTCTTCAGTAACATCGACCATGCCTATAAAAGCAAAATTCGTCACTCGGACATCTTCAGTCATGCCCGTTTGGGATTCAATATACCCCACTTGAACTTCGAATGGACTCGTGTCCACTTTCATTGACATCTCTTCAAATTTCAGTCTTCCTTGGTCGATCGCATCTTGGATCGTATTCCTGAAATGTATACAATTGTTAGTCCAATGTCCATAAACATTATGAAATTTGCAATATTTTTGACCGTTCCTTTGTTCTGCAGAGGGAAGTTTATGATCATCACTCAACTTAATTTGTTTGTCTTTTAATAAAATATCAAAGATTTTATCTGCCTTTGTAACATCAAAAGTATATGTTCGATTTGCCATTTTATCTTTTACTTCATTTTTCTGCAGCAATTTACAGATATATGGAGCTCCCACTTTGAGCTCTGCTATATTTACTTTCTCATCGACAGTTTCTTCCACATCATTTTCTGTCGTGGGATCTGTTTCATACACATCATTTATATATGCTATTCTTTCTTTCTTCATAGGTTTCTCAAATTTCTTATATCTTTGTTTTTCATACTCAATTTGTTCCACTCTTCTTACTTTATCAGCTAATTGAGCCATGTCATTTAATGGTAAATTGACTAACTTTTTCCTAATCGAGAATTCTAAGCCTGCAGAGGTCATTCTGACTAATTCATATTCAGGAATTTGAGTAAAGCATCTCGACTTCATTTGTCTAAATCGATTCAAATAATCATCTATGCTTTCATGATTGTATCTTTTTATGTTCATCAAATCGATGAGACTTACTTGAGTCTCTCCTCTAAAGAATTGCTCATGAAAATTTCTTTCCAGTTGCAGCCAATTATATATCGAATTGGGTGGTAACGAAGTGAACCAAGTAAAAGCATTCTCAGTCAAAGAACTAGGGAAATATTTCATCTTTAATTCCTCACTCATCGCTAGGTCCCCACATTCGATCTGATATCGAGCTACATGCTCGATAGTTGATTCACCAACTTCTCCAGCAAATTTAGTGAATTTAGGTACTTTGTATCCTCGAGGTAATTCCGTCTCGAGAATCGCATTTGGAAATGAAGACACAAAGTATGTTTGATTGGGTGGTCTAAATTCCATCTCTTGGAAATTCATCCTCTGTCCTAACATGTGATTATACTGCATGTTATTCTGATTGTACATATTTTGAAATCCTTCATTCAGATTCCTACAAATATCATTTCTCATCTGTTAGTATTCATTCCCCGTATGCTGATGTTGATCATTGTTTCGATTTCTCCTTAATAGATACGGGGGATTGATATTAGCATTCTGGTTAACATGATTTTCTACCCTTGTTCGTCGAGGTACAGCCAATGCATCCCCGATTCGTGACATTTGGTCTGCTAATATCTCAAAACTAGCAGTAGTGTTTTGAACTAATGGATTTAGGACTGTAGTCAACTGTTGTGACAACATATTCACCATCTCAAAATTGCTCTCATCCATTTGTTGTCTAAGTATCCCTAATGAGTTACTGGATATCCCAGTACCAGTGTTTTCGATAATCTCAAAATTGGATCGATGATAATCTCTATCGAATGTATATCTTCCATGTTCCAAATTTCCTCTATGATCTAGATTTCCTCTATGATCTAAATTTGGAAGCGTTTGTTGTGTGCCTAAATTCTGTCCACTTCCTGAATTCTGGGGGATTGCCAAGTTTTGAGATGTCCCTAAATTCGGAGGGACTCCAAAATTTTGGGGCATGCCCAGTGTTTGAGGCATTCCTAAGTTATATCTCGAATTCCGCTGTGTTGAAGAAGTTCCAGCCCCGCTCATATTATTAAGCGAAAACCCAGGCGGTCTTACACTCATATATGGCCCTACATATGTTGTTGTGGGGTTTCCTATAGTTTGTATATTATTTGGTACCACCACATTAGATCCTACTTGGGTGTTTGTTAAGGTACCTGAATTTTGTTCGTTACCCACAGGTATCGACATACTCGCAGTTGTCGATGTTACAGACATATTCCCATTATGACTTTGCCCCCCAGTATTTGGTGAATGTACACCATTTAGACCCTCACTGTTACTCTGGTTATTTGATGAATTTTGACTCATTCTTATAACTCGCCCACTCCTTAATCTCATACACTTGAACTAACCAATTTTGTGTTTTTAACACAAGGCTACCCCTACCTGGCGCGCCAATTTGTTTCTGGTGGAATTTCGATCGATTTCGACTCTTAAGATATTTTGATCCTAATCAAAATTCTACCACGTAAGTTCTTTTTACTTAGGCTAGCAAATTAATTTTCAATCGAGATGCGTATGAGGATCGAATTTTACCCGATTTCAAAGATACTATTTTTGGTGTTTTATATTTAAAATGCTCGAAGTAAAGAAAGCAGAAAATTTATGGAATCGAAAAGCAGTGCTGAACATTAGATTGCAAAGAAACGTAACATGCGGAGATCTTAAAATCGCTTTAAGTATAAAAGACAGGGAATCGAAACAGCAAAAATGTAAATAACAGGAAGTATAAATGACAATAAATCAAATGTGCAGAAAGTATAAATAACTTGGAAATCGAAATTGCATTAATGTTAAATGACAAGAAAACTTAAACGCGGAAACTTAACTTTCATTGAATCAAAATGACCAAAAATCGAAAGTACAGAAACATAAAATTGCTAAAGATAAATTGCATCAAAGTAAATTACCAAGGAAAATACAGAAAACGGTAAAGGTACTCAATGAGCATGGAAATCCAGATTGCCAGAAGTTTCATGATGTTCGTCGTTTCTCCGGTAGACTTCTCACTAATGATTCTGTTCTCTGCCAATTTTCTGCTCCCATTTCCTTTCATCATTTGCTCTATTTATAGTGTCTTTTCAAGTAGTCTCTTTAAGAGCAGTTAGCGAAGACTACTACCACGTTCTCTGTGCACGTTTTTTGCAGTTTTGTTCCTTGCTCTGCGGTTTAGAAACTTTATCCACGTTCCCATGAATGAGGTAACCGCTCCCTTGACCTTCGACTTTTGCTACCGCTTACTATGTTCGATGTATACGTCAACCGTTCTTCTTAGTCAAACTTTCGATATTCACGTATATTAGTCTTTCCTTCGATTTAGATTTCGCAACTTCGAGAATTTTGGATTTGCTTTTGATTCTCGATATCCTTAACGTTACCAGATTTTGTTTTCTTGATTTTCTTCACCAACGGACGTTAAGCGTTATTCCTTCGATTTTCGATTCCAATTATCGATATGTTTTTGTCTTTGTATTTACCAGGTGTTTTAGCAATTGCATCGACTTGTTAATCACTTGTATAGTTCTCGATTTTTTGTTTCCCTTCACTTTCTCGATCCTTTTATAGATTTCTCACTAACAAATACATTATAATTTTAAAACTTTTTTTCATTTATCAATCCAAATACGACAAGAAAAAAATCATAACATTTATTCTTTATGAACTAAAATAATTAATTCAATAGATAATTAAAAAAGTCTCACCAAAAAGAATAAAGAAAATTTAAAATAATATCTCATAAGGAATATTAATTTTGAATTATGAAAAAGAAGTTAAATTGTTTTATTCTATTATTATAATATATTTAAAGTATAAGAAATATCTAAATATTTTATTTTAGATATTCTATTAATATTTTTTATATTTTCCATTCTATCCTTATTTTTATATGAACTTTATATTATAGGAATATCTTATAAGAATTAGATACATAATGTTTTATATTAGGAACACGATAACATGAGCACAGTTGTGTTGTCGATACATAATGTTTTCAGCGTCTTTATCATTATTTTTTTTTTCTTTCAACATAATCCTATATTCTGTGAAGACAATTTTGCAGTTAATAATCACTAATTAAATTTCACATAACATATAAGTGTTTTTAATTTGTTTTTATGAATTTAAAATCTTCAGTATATTTCATATAAAATTTATTTTAAAAATTGATGTTGCTAAACTATTTTTTTTTCTTCTATTCAAAGGGTTAAATTGATGCTAATAAACCTCAACATTTTTTACTCTAAACCTTAAACTCTAAATTTAACTTTATTATAATTATTTTTTTTAAGTTTTGTGTTGCATGTGCTGTAGTGTTCCACATGGTTGCACACCTGTCTTAACACTTTAAGGGTTCATTGCATACATTAATTGTAGTGTTAATGCTGAACTTGAAAAAGAGTTTATGGTACAAAAGATAAGAATCTCTTGGGTTGGATAGTTTTTAATTGTATACGACCACATTGATACAATCAAATTGTAATAAAGTAATAATTTGTGTGGTACTCTTAATTATATATTTATATTTATATCAGTGATTTTGTGGAGCTATAAAGCAAACATACACATATCAGTGATCCATAAAGGTATCTGAGAAAGAATGGAAGAAGAAAAAAGCTTCACATATGCCATGCAGCTTGTGAACTCTAGTGTGCTATCCATGGCCATGTACTCAGCCATAGATCTTGGCATTTTTGATATCATGGCCAAAGCAGGTGTGGGTGGTAAACTATCTGCAATGGACATAGCAGCACAGCTTCCATGCAAGAATCCAGAAGCAGGCACAATGCTTGATCGAGTCCTAAGACTCCTTGCATGTCACTCAGTCATTGACTGCACAGTGGTTGATGATGAGCATGGTCCTCCTCCACATCTGAAGAGGCTCTATGGCATCAACTCTGTGTCCAAATACTTTGCTTCCATTCATGGTGCTGGCTCTCTAGGCCCTCTCATGCTGCTAGCTCAGGACCAGCTCTCCCTTCAAAGTTGGTCAGTTTTTTCTTATTCTCGCTCTACAATTTGAAGTTCAGAATAAACTTTTCTGAAAAACGTTATGAAATAAAAAAGTTAAATATTTTTTTATATATTAAACTAAAATAATAAATGTCATATTTTGTTTTGGTTAAGATGAAAGAATTTATAAAAATTAATTCATTTATAAATTAGTTTTAGCTTATAAAAAGTTTGTTTAATTTTTCTTTTTCATTTGTTCGTAGAAATATTTATATACAAGTTTATGTAAAAATTCCGTAAGTATTTATAGTTAAAAAAAAATATTAGAGATAAGATTTTTTATTCCCAAGAATTTTTATTGTTTTACAAGATATCAGGTCTATTAATAACTCTTTTACAAGATAATTATTTTTATTGTCATTACAAATAGAATTTTTTTTTATCATAGCTGCTCTCAAAAAAATTATGTTGATTTTACTTTAATATAGATCTAAACATGAATAAACAATGCACATGGTAAGTTATATTTATTATGATGATTATTCTGATTTACATGAATGCAATAATTCAGAACAATTATATAAATTTAAAATAATTAAAAATTTTAACTATAAAAAATTCTACTATTTAAGAATTTAAAATAAAATAAAATAAAATTCACTTCATATAAAAAAGAAATGAATAAAGAAAAAAACTTATCTTGTGGAAAAAGTAGAACTCAAAGAAAAATAAATGAGTTGGTGAAAGCGAAAATGACGAACAATAAATAAAGAAGAAGAAAAATCGAAAGAAGATATTGAAGCTACGAGAGAAACCAGAGGAACAACGTGATCTCTTGTATGTTAATTCAAATTTAAACTAATAAAAAAAATTACTTACTGTTACGATCATAAAATTTTATTATTATTTCAACTCCAATTTAAATTGACATAATTTTTTTCCTTGATTATAAAAGTGTGATTACTCTATTTTTATAAACGAATGAATTAAAACCACCGTAATAAATTGTGATTAAATGTTATAACCTTATTTAAAAAAGAAAACTCCATTTGATGCATGGTTAATTGTCTTGATACACTGAGGGCATGAATGCTAGTATTGTCTAGATTATCATAATACTCAAGTTGTTTCAAAATATGAACATTGATATGAAAAAGCCTAAAAACCATTTAAATATTTCTTATAATGTGCTTACATGAAAAACTATTCTACACAAATTTATTTACATTTCAAGTATGTGTTACTTTACCACATAAATAAAATCTTGCAAAGAAATGCTAAAGGGAAAATCTTTTATGTCCATAATTTGAAGGTATCATCTGAAAGATGCAATTCTGGAAGGAGGCATTCCATTCAACAGGGCCAATGGCAAACACGTCTTCGAGTATTCTGACTCGAACTCAAGCTTCAATAATCTTTTCATAGCAGCAATGGCCAACCGTGCAACTTTAATTATGAAGAAGATTGTGGAATCCTACAAGGGGTTTGAACTCATCAATAGCCTGGTTGATGTTGGTGGTGGTCATGGTGTCTCTCTTAACATAATAACTTCAAAATACCCTCACATTAAGGGTATCAATTTTGACTTGCCTCATGTCATAGAACATGCCTCTCCCTATCCTGGTACGACCCTAGTTTATAGATCTGCATAATGTTTGATGATGTAAAAAAGGAGTCTGTGACAAAATTTAATTTTGAAACCTTTATTTGATTGTAGGAGTGGAGCATGTGGGAGGAGATATGTTTGAAAGTGTGCCAAAAGCAAATGCCATTTTTATGATGGTGAGAGGTTTTGCTTGTCTAATCTGTCCTTTAAGATATGATGCATGGTCGATCTTCGTAATTTATTCCCATTAATTAATGAGTGAATGAACTTTAATTAATTAATGTAGTGTGTGCTTCATGATTGGAATGATGAGTGGTGCTTAAAGGTGTTGAAGAACTGCTATGATGCAATTCCTGGTGATGGAAAGGTGATTGTTGTGGATGGAATTCATCCATTTGAACCAAAGACAACAGCTGCAGCAAAGAGCATTTCCCAATATGATTTGGTGATGATGACTACAAGCCCAGGTGGGAAGGAGAGAAGTGAAGATGAATTCATGGCATTGGCAAAAGGAGCTGGATTCACTGGCATTAGATATACATGCTTTGTTTGTGACTTATGGGTTATGGAGTTCTTCAAGTAGATATTATGTGTTCTGCCCAATTGTGAAGGCCAACCTTCAATAAATGTCAACCTCAAAAATTATTAATAAAGTTTAAGATTAAGATTAATTTTATTATTGGTTATAATTAGGGTTGTCAACCTTAGCGAACCAGCTCACACGGTTTTACTCACCACGGGTTGAGCAGAAAATAAGTAAATTCAACCCGACTCACTTTTTGGCGAGTCAGAAATTTTACAATCTGGTTCAACCCACTACGGGTTGGTAGGTTAGGTAAGTTGGCTCACTAACCCATATTTTTTAATTTTTTAAATGATATAGAAACTTCGTACGTGGAAACTTTTGCTTTCTTCTTTTCTTTCTCAACATCAGTATATTCATTATTGTTATTAATTGAAAGACTCATTAGATTTTTCATTAATAATAAAATCATCACCAACATAATTCACATTAAATATTGTTTCGATTCTATACTCGTAAATTAATTTGAAAGAAAGAAGTCAAAAATTCATATATTAAAGAAATATACATATATGCTACAAATTTTTACCCTTGAAAACGGTACAGTAGACACAGTGGTGTAGTGGTGCAGTAGGCAGATGATAAGACAAGTAACTTAAGTGCAGCGACAAACCTAGTGGTATAACAAACAACTCATAACAAGCTTAAGTGAGGGTTTGACTTGTGGCGGCAGCGACAATGTAGAGTGGAGGTGAGACAAGATAATATCAATTAGGGTTATAGGGTTACTAAAGTATTATAATTATTTTAAAAAATTAAAATAAATGATTAATTAGGAATAGTGTATTATTATAATTATTTTTAAAATTTAAAATTAATGATGGGTTGTGGTCAACCCACCATAACCCCGCTCGAACTCGTTTAATCTGTGGGTTGAGTGCGTAGTCGGGTTCATTTTTTACACATAATCGATAGAAATTAAAAAAATCTTACTCAACCTAACTCGAACCCATGGTGAACCGAATTGACTCACGAAGTTAGAACTTATATTGATACCCTTAGTTATAATAATATTTTATATAAATAAGTATAATACTCGAGTCGGTATTATCAAAATCAATTTAATATTGAGATATTAATATTTTTTAACGGTCAACTTAATTGTTATCAGACTTATGTTGCAAAATTTAAAATATGTGTTGCAAAATTTAAAATAGATTAAAAATTTGATAATATTTATATATATATATATATATATATATATATATATATATATATATATATATATATATATATATATATATATATATATATAGGTGAAACTGAATATAATCCTCATTTCTTGAAGCGAATTTGTAAAACTGAACGTGTTATTTCATCATTTTTATTATTATTTTTTATTAATTATATTTTAATTTTTAATTATATTTATTTTTGTATGTAATCCAAACTTAAACATCATATATATTAAACACATAAATATTAAATTTAAACGTCATATATTTTAAAGTCTTATTTATTTTCTTTATCTCTTTATGGGAAATAAAGGAGAAAAATGAATGGGGATAGAATGAAAAGTTAAATTTAAAAAGTTTGGTTCACCGAAGATATTATTTTTCAATCTATATATAATTATCATTGCCTTGCTCCTTTAGTAAATTAAGCATAATTAAGGTGATTGTATGTTTTCAAGGCACAGTTAATTTTAGGGAAAATACATAATAAATAATGATTAATATGAGAAAAATAATTACTTTTTTAATTTGATAAGGAAAAAAATAAAAAATTTTTATTTTAAATCTCCTATATTTTTGTCTTATATATGAAAAAATTAATAGAAAACATAAATAAAAATATAAATTTTCAGAACAATATTTTTGATTCAAATAAATAATAATTTTATAATTATACAATTATTTAATTTTAATTAATTTATTTATATTTTTAAAATGAACATTTTTTTCATATTATTTTTTCTCAAATAAATAAAATAATGACACATATATAAATGGTTATAATAAATTATGACACTGACATGTATAAGCTTATAATTTAAAAAATTGGACATATTGCATATTACGTAACTATAAACACAGGAAAAAAAGTATAAAAATATAGTAATTATTATATATTCAGAGATGAAATAAAATACTATATTGTACATAAATACATAAATGAAAAATATATTATTTATATAATTATCATGGTTTTATATTTTTTTTAATTTGGAAACTAAACAGTAAATTTAAATTATATACTATTATTAAATTGTTCAAACATTACATCACTACAAAGAAAATTTATTTATTTATTAATATCTTCTATTTATTTATGTAGAGATTCTCCAACCACTAAATTATTAATATTTTTCGATAATAATTTACAAATAAATTATATTTATATATAAATAAATATATATCTGTGTAAATATATAAATATAAATATATTTATATATTTTAATATATTTATATGTTGGATGTGAGAGCGACTCGAAGGTGAAAATGTGTGTCGAGTGAGTTTTCAAAATATTGATGTCAAATTTGTGAGCGAGTCTTTTTATATGAGTTTGTAATTTAATGATAGAATATAGTCTTTATAATTTATTAATATAATGATATAAAATATTTTTTCTTTTTTTATTTCATTTATTTTATTCTTTTTATCTTTTTTCTCCTATTATTTAATTAAAACTCTTATATTAAAATAATTTTCTCAATATTAAAAATACTTAAATATTTATTTTTAAAGTTATTTAATTTAACAAATTATTATAAATTAATCTAATTATGATTAAATTAAATTATTAAATAAAAAAGTATTTAAATTTTTAATTAGGTAATTAATTTATTATAATATATTTAAAATTAAGTAATTATTATATAATTTTAAATATTTAATTTTTTTAATTTAATGTTGATTTTTAAAAATATATTTTAAATTCGTTGGTATATTCATCGGTAATTAATTGTTAATTTATTGATGAATATATTCGTCAGTAATTAATTATTTATTTACCAATAAATTTTCCAATAGATATATTCATCGATAAATAATTATTTATTTACTTACCGATATATTTGTTGGTAATTAATTGTTTATTTACTGATAGATATATCGGTCGGTAAGACCAAATTTCAAAATTATTTTAAATCTGTCGATAATCAATTATTTTCCGACAATTATATATCTATCGGTAAATATCCGTTAATAATTAATAATTTTTTTACTAGTGCATGTATTCAAACATAATAATATTATAAATATAATTTTAAGTCAACCCACATCTAAAAATATAATTCCGTCAATTCTTCAAATATATAAAAAAAATAAAACTTAATATATATATATATATATATATATATATATATATATATTCACATATCTTAATTAGAATAAATGCAAGAAAAAAATTATTATAGATACATATCCATTCAATTTTCATCCTTAGATATCATATCCACTCATTGTGATCCTTGTGCTATGTGATCATTGCAAATACAGTTTGTTTTTGTTTTTTTTAATTTGTACATATTATTGAAAAAACATATTATATTTCCAAAATAAAAATAATAAAGAATAACTAAAAAAGAAAAATCAAAATAAGTGATCATTTATTTAATTTTTTTAATAAAAACATAAAAATAAATATTTTATCGTGAATTCGTTATTTAAAAATAGAAAAAGTTATTTAAAATAAAAAGAAAAAACTACTTGTACAAATAATTCTAAGCAAGTTTTTATATAACTCAATGGTGATCCATGGTTAAAATCTCACTTTCCATATGCTCTAAAATCCTAGCTCCAAATTCCAAGATGGTCGAAGACGTTTCACCTATGTTAAACGCTGAATGGTGTGTGGACATGTATGGTGAGCATGATTGAGCTAATCTATAATATTCAAGCCTTGAACATGTCGACGCAGGTTTCCTTCGAAAGTCCTCTGTTCCAGAACTTGTCGTAGTATTCTCTGTACGTGAAGTTGGTGTATTGCGCAGGATGATCATTGTCCACCAGTTGAGGTGCTGGTTTTATGGTTGCGTCAGGTGAAGGACAATAGAATGTCGGAATGGACATTCTTTCCTTCTCGCAATTCACCAATGCTCGATGCAACACGCTCTTGTACCTGTCGTTGCTTATCACCTTCTCCGAACCCACATCATAAACCAACAAGCATATATACTATAAGTATTCATAGCAATTATAAAATGGTATTATTGATTTAATCATTTCGTAAAACACATCTTTTCCTTGTCTAATTTTTTTATGTGAAAAAAACGATACACCTTCATCGAGGTACTAATTAATTTGACGTATCAGTCCACTGGTATTAATAAAATAGGTTTGAGGTGTGAGACGCGCGCGGAAGTAATTAGTAATAGTATCTAATTTGAAAGGTATAATGCTGAAGAGAAAAAGACAACTAGAAATTTAAAACTAGTGAATCTGATTATTACTACTTTATGCAGAATAATTCATTTTTCTCTTATTCCATTTTCCTATTAATTCTCTGACTTTCTGTGATGCAAGTATTAGATGTAGAGCATTATTCTGTGCTCTCTTTTTTCTTTTGATGACATAGATAACATTTGATACCTGAATTTGGTCACCAATATTGACTATGAAGGTGTTGGGAACAGGATTGACGGTTAACCAGTTGCCGTCATAGAGGACTTGCAAGCCAGGCACCTCATTCTGGAGCAGAATAGTGATAGCATTTGGGTCAGCATGAGGTGGCAACCCATATGTTAACTCTGGCTCAGGACATGGAGGGTAGTAATTTATGGCCATGTGCTGCCCATGTTCTCCCAGTGCTTTCTCTATGTAGTCTTTTTCCAACCCCAAACTCTCTGATATTCCCTCAAGCAACTTCAGAGATAAACCCCTCATCTTTCTACTGTACTCAGCAACATCATCCCTGAAATAACACCCTTCATAAGTTCAACAAGTATCAAAATCAAACATCATATTTTTTACTGATAAAGAAAAAAAACATCTGTAAACCTGAAAGAGGGAGGGTGGGCAGGCCATTCCAGAATGTAATTCTCAAGGGGGTGGCAGTGAAGTCTCAAAAAGTCTCTCCAGTTGGAAACTTTCTCAGTCTTGACATTGAAACTGGTGGAAAGCCTTGTTGTCTTCGAAGGGTCATCGGAGTAATTCTTCAGCCTCTCACTCTCCGGCAACCCGAAGAACTCCTTCGACACGTTCACCATCTTAGTCACCACCTCCTCCGGAATTCCATGATTCACAATCTTCAAAACAGTTAATTTACCAAAGATCAATATATATTACTACCTTTGCAGGGGTGGCAATATATAAATAAATTTCACCAAACCAAAGTGATAAAATTAATCAACTTTAATAATAGTAATAATATATTGTTTTGTGTACTTGAAAGAAACCATAGTGTTGGCAAGCATGTGCGATGTTTTGGACCATTTTGGAACGATTGGGACCATCAAGGTCGTGAAGGTCTATGATGGGAATGGAAGGTGTGGAGGTGTGAAGTTGGTGAAGGTTTGGACGGTCAGCAAGGGGTCTGATGAAGTTGGAGGGAACACGATCAACAGTGGAGGCTAGGTCGGTTAAGAGTGGCTTTGTGGCTACGGTGGTGGTGGTGGTGGTGGTGGTGGCCATTGCTGTGCTATGTGTGGCTGTGTCTAGATTCCTTCTATTGTTTAGGATATGACAATTGATGGGGTTGGCACCTGAATTTATATTCCCATTGGACTACTCATGCCTACGTACTCTGCATGACTTTAGCGTGGGAACCTTTTATGACGTCATAATTAATGTTTTTTTTCCTGAGTATCGAAGGTCAGGAAACTTAAAATAATTTATATGATATCTATAATAGTTTTATACAATGCAGATTTTATTTTATATGGATCCCAGTTAGGCAGGTAGGTATGAAGTACGAAAACATACCTCTACATTTGTATAAACTAATTTTATATTATTAACAATATAAATTAACAAAATTAGACTAATAAGTATACCAACAGCTAATATTTTTTATTTGCTAATATGCATGAAAAGTTTCTAAGTTTCTATTGGTTAATTAATATTAAAAAAAATATTCGCAGTCAGATAAACAATTAAAGTAAAGTTTTCATTTTTTTTTAGATGATAGGAGTTTCATCAAACCCGATTAAATTTAAACTTATGTAAGAATGAGAAGTAGTATACGACACTACGATTTATATAATGGCCAGGTTACAAAAGAATTAGTTTAAAAGGAAATGTTATAGATAAAGTTAACCATCTTTCAACAACACATGTAAGAATAGGATAGTATTTTTTATATATAAAATTGTTAAGAAAAAAGTATAATTGAAATATGACATGTATTTTAAAAAAGTTTATTACGTATTACTACAAAGTAGACAATAGACAATGTCTTTTTAATAATGGTTTTATATAAAGTATTGTTAAAAAGATATATTAATAATTTTAAAATTATTTATAATTTTTTTAATAATAATTTATTTATATTTGTTATCGTAGTATAATTTTTTAACTACAGTTATTTTATAATCATTATTATTACATATTATATATTATATATGACGATGCGGCAAGATCGTTGTCATATGTTTTATTAAAATTTTTAATTTTATTTATTTTATTCATTTTGTTTATTTTATCTTCTTTTTTTGTGATTCAACTTTTTTTTCTTTTTTTCTTTATGATTTTCTTATTTTCAAAGCATTTTTTTTCACCGTAAATATTTTTAATACACTCAAAATTATTACAAGAAAAAATAATAAAAAATAATGTTTTGTTGAGACAAATATAAATAATAATGTTTTGTATGATGCGTTGAAATCGAGTTAAAAAAATAATAAGAAGAAAGTCATGACAACGCTTAGATTTACTGCGGGGACCAAAAAAATAATAATAAAGCTTCGGTTACAAAAAAAGTAACAACGACCAAGTAGTATTTTTGTGGCAAAGTTTCTAAATTTGTTACTAAGGTTATATGTTATTGTGACGGAATCTCTAAATTCAAAAATTATTATTATAAACTTTTTTAACCATCATAAAATAAGTTATTTATTCTAATAATGACACATTATTCATGTATAATGACTCAGAAAACAAATTAATGAAAAAAATAAATCATTTATTCACTTAATTATTATGATAAAATAAACTTTAAGGTTAATATATATTAATTAAAGTGATCTCACATTATCTTTAATCATATTACTAATCCATTAGTATATAATATGTGAAGATGCAAAAAAAAAAATTTTTTCTCCAACCTTTTAATTGAACTTTTTGAAATGTAATAAGTAAATTAATTGTGACTGTAACTTATGTAGTAGTTTGTGAAGCAACTTTAAATACTCTTATTTCAACCTGAGATATCAAAATTATAATTACATAGATATATTTAATGATAATAATTAAATTTTAAAAAATAAATGTAATTACAAAAAATTGTTTGAGAGAGTGATAATTCCCTCACCTCCCATCTGCGACTGTCCTCAACAATCAAACAATAGAAATAAAATTTTATCTATTTCTATCAAATAACCTAAAACAATCTAACTTCTTATAATTTTTCTTTTCACGGGAAAAATATAAAAATTTATTAATTGGATAGAAACATGACAGAACAACTTAGAAAAGATAAATATTGGTAATAAAATTTGGTTTAATAATACTACTAATCATTGATATTTTGACTACTGTACTTTTTCAACTTAAAAAAATTATTTCTTCTAATTTTTTATACTCAATTCTATGCATCTCAATTTTAACCATAAAAATTGTTAAATTTTGTAGTAAAATTTAAAATTTTAGAAGTTATAATGGGTTATGGCTATAGTATAATTGTTATGCATTTATTTATTTTTATTTTATTTTAAAAAGCAAATAACTTTTATTTTATTATCTAGTTATTCTCTAATTTTTTTCTTCCTTTTACTTTATCACATTTGCGGTTAGAATTGTCCATCACAATAAATTAAGTTGAAAAATGAACAGTAGGCTCTATTATAATTATTAAATATAAAAAGTAGTAGTACAAGAACAATGAATTAAAAAAAAAAGTGTAGTACATTGCACCAAAAGTTAGAATGAGGTGACTGAAAGGAGAATCCTTGAATTGAAATTGAGTTTGAATTGAAATTGAGTTCGAATCGAATGCAACACCCTAGAATATTATATCTTGTCGGCATGGAAATGAAAGACCAAGACAAAGTTACGTGATCTCGGATCGAGTTCAGATTTTAAGAAGAGGAATGACGATGGTCCTTTTATGATGACCTTTTTCAAGACGGAAAGGAAGGTAGGTTATTATTTTTCAGTAATATTTTTTTCTGTATGATTGGAATTTTTTTATATAAGTTTTATTATATGAGAAAATAGCAATAATAATAATAATAATAAAATAAGTTTCCATATAAGGTTCTATGATGTTAAATTATGTATAAATGAATTTTAATTTTAAATGAATTTGTTTTATTTATTATTTTTACTTTTTTAAGATATTTATATATAATGTAATTATAATTTATATTAAAAAAGTAATATTATTAATAATAAAAATAGTATATAATATATAAAATTAGATGGCATGCAGGTATCAGTGTTTGGACTGCAGAGTACATATATCACATGCATTCCAACCATAAAATATCACATAATGGAGATTCCAAATCTGTGGATCCAACTATTTTTAAATTGCAACATCCACCACCTAATGCATCTCTGTCTGACAACCTTTCCAAATTCATCCACATCACCATCGATGCAGATGGACCACTCATCAAATATCACCGCTATTTCCCACTTCTCATGCCTTCATCGTTTCCTTTCCACTCAAATTTAAACATTTCTCCCAAACCAGCAAATCAAATAATGCACCTTACGCACATCATGCCGTCCATTTCACTGCATAATATATATGACCTCATTCCACCTACGTCACCCTCCCACATATGAATATATCTTTGTTAATAAAATAGACAAATAAATAATTTGGACGTGAGTTTTGTTGATTTTGACCACGAATAATGTGGTAAATTCGGTAACGAACAAGTATTCACTCAACTCAAATATTGAAGACTTGCAAAAGCTTCCAACCACACATATTCACACGTGAAGATCCTATCATACTTATTTCACTACAATATATATTTTTTTAGTACAGTAACAAATAATAAAAAATAGATAAAATATCATAATTTATAAACTTATTATTAAAAATATTTAAAGTAATCAAAATATATGTTTAATAACAATAATTTATTTTTATTGTAGTATTAACAATTGATTAATATGTTACCTACTTAATACTTATTAAAGAGATATTAAACTCGGAAGAATATTTTATCCATTGAATCTTGATAAATACACAAGTGTCTTGAGTTTATAATCTGATTGTAACTGTAACAAGGATGTATGAACTATTAATTAACATTATTTATTGAATTTATTTTTTTTAAACTTACTTCTTTCAAGTTTTTTCATTCCTAACTTGAAAAGTCTTTTCTACTCCTACTGAGTTGACATTTTTCAAAACATTAATAAAGGGGTTTTGTAATGATTTTACGTGTCAAAGAGTTTTTCTAGAAAAATAGTGTTTAAATTAAAATTGAAACCTTTGTTTTCCCTCTTTTACATTGTATCCTTCTCAAATTTTTGCTTCTTCAAGTCCTTTGAGCATCCACTTTCCTAAGTTTCCAAATATTCTGGTTTTTCGTTGAGCATTTCAATCCCAATCTCTTTCCCAGGTACATCTCTATTGTTTTGTCTTATTCTGAGTCTAATTGTTTGATTGGATATTTAATGGGTCCTAGCTCTTATGTAGGAACTAGGAGGGGTAGATTTCCTCCAATTTCTAACCGAGTATAGTTGGGTGAGTATAGTTGGATGCTTGTAGAGGTTACCCATTCTGTTTTCACTTACTCTTCTTCAGTAAAAGATATTTGTAAAGTTTTTAGTGTTTGTTCTGACTCAGATTAAATTATATTAATGTTGTACCTCTTTTGATCGAGTTTTTATGAAACCTTCCTTGAATGAAAAAAACTTTAATTTTGTATATGAATGTTTCTTCAAAGACTTAGATATTCAGGTTCCCTTTATAAATTTTAAGTGCGACGTACACTTTATTTAGGGTTTAGGAACCAACTTCATCCTAACAGTTGAGTTTTCCTAAAAGTTTTTCAAATTATGTGTGATATTTTGAGTTTATCCCTTGTAAATAAGTTCTTATATTTTTACTAATTAAAATATGACCAAAAAATTGGTTGGGTAAATAGTGATTTATTTACCCTTTTTCAATTGTCATTCAAAAATTTCAAAAGTCACTTTTTAAAAAAAAAATGTTCTCAGCATGATCCCTCCTGACATCTCTGTTTCCATTCCGATTATACTTCTCATTTTTCATTATTTTGGCGAACTCTCCACAAATTTAAATTTTGAGTCGAATACCTATTATCACCCAAGGACAAAAATGATATAAAAATCTTATCTAGTTTCCATCGACCTATTAATTGTAGAGAGATTTTATCTTTTCCGTTTACTAAGGACCCTAAAGTTTAGTATCTTGGTAAAACTTTATTTCATTTTTTTCGTAATAAACTTTTGTTATAATTATTTCTGACTATGATTCTTTTTTTGCA